CCCTGGGTGGGGGGAGCCCAGGGTGGACAGGGCCAGGCACGTCCATCCCCAGGGCCCTGGGGAGAGAGTCTGCCCTCCGACAGAGCAGCTGAGGCATGGTGCAGACAACGGGAGCACGCAAAGGCCCCAGGAGGCTAGGCAGAGCCAGAAGGAGGGGTTCCTGTCTGGGTGGAGGGACTGGGAGGTGGTTAACTGGCCCTTGGCTGGCAGGTTACGGGGGTGTCTCCTGGCTGCCAGAGCTCAGGGCTGGGCCCAGCCACCACGAGTGGCACTGTTGGCCCCAGGCCTGCTTCACCGCAGCCCGGCACGCCCTGACCCCGTCTGTGCCTGCCCAGTCTGGGCTGCTGGCCCCTCAGTTCACGCCCTGGGACCCCAAGGAGGCTGTGGGGCGATCTGAAGAGCGGCTCCCAGCACCCAGTAGGAGACGAGTCCTGGCCAACGTATCTGCGTGAACTCAGGATGGCACCCTGCTCCCAGCCTCCTGGTTCCCGTCTCTGACCTGGGGGTGTCTTCTGGACCCCGCCTGACACACACCTGTGCCCTGCAGGCTTCATCTAACTCTCCACTGCCCTTCTGTTCCAGGGAAGCGGGATGGGGAGATGGACCGGAACTCGGACACCCTGGACCTGCCCAAGCGCACTGAGGCTGCCAAGGGTGAGTGCGGGGAGGCAGAGGTCAGGCTGGTCCGGGGGTGAAGGTCTGTGCCGCTGAGCTGGCCTGAAGGGCCTTGGGGCCTAGTGGGGAAACAGGCCCACAGGGGCGGGGCTCCCAGAGGACTGTGCCAGCCCCGGGCCGTCTGCTCAGGGCTGGGAATCAGGGTCTGTGCCAAGGTAACTTCAGGCAGGTATGGGGGTGGGGGCGTGGAGGAGCGGGTGGGGATGGCAGCGAGGGTCTTCAGTGAAGGGCAGGGCTAACCGGCAAGGCCTCCTGTGCCAGCCGAGGCGCCGGGGGGTGCGGTCAGGTACGGTTTGGAGGCTGATTCAGAGCACCCTGGTGCGTTGGGGCAGAATCGGGGAGGGGTGATGACATGCAGGGTGAGGGGCAGGGGTGATGCCCGGGGACACAGGCCGCAATGTGGGGACAGACCTGGAAGGCTGTTCCCTGCTCCACCCTGGAGCACCGTGGGGCGACTCTGCTGCTGGGCTGGGGCCTCCAGTGATGCGGGGCCAGGAGGGGTTGAGCGGCTGCGGCTTGGAGAACAGGCCTCTAACATAGGATGCGCAGGTGGGGGGCTGTTGCTAGGCAGTCTGAGTCCTGTTGCTAGGGGAGCAGTCCTGGCTGCTGCCCACGCCCCCCCCCCCCCCGGGTCCCGTGACCTCTCCCATCCTCCGTTGCTTCCCTGTGAAATGGGAAGGGTTTTCCTTTCGGGTGGCTAAGGGGTGAACACGGCGGTGCGGAACGTCCCCCGGTGACGTCACAGCCGCCCTTGGCCCCGGCTCCGCTGCCCCGGGAGGGCCGAGGAGGGGGAGGGTGACAGGGCGGCATGCGTGACCGCGGCGGGGGCGCTCCGTGTCCAGGCTTCGAGCTGCTGTACCAGCCCGAGGTGGTGCGTCTCTACCTGTCCCTCCTGACGGAGAGCCGCAACTTCAATACCCTGGAGGCCGCGGCCGGCGCCCTGCAGAACCTCAGCGCTGGGAATTGGGTGGTGAGAGGCCCGGCGGGACAGGGAGGCTTGGGGTGGAGCTGCTGGGGGCGGGCTTTGTCCGCAGCGGGAGGGCGGGTCCGGCTCGAGGGGGCGGTCAGGGCGCCGCTGGGCGCGCGACGCTGCCCCAGCTGAGAACGCCGTCCCTCGACGCAGTGGGCCACGTACATCCGCGCCGCGGTGCGCAAGGAGCGCGGGCTGCCGGTGCTGGTGGAGCTGCTGCAGTCGGAGACCGACAAGGTGGTGCGTGCAGTCGCCATCGCCCTGCGCAACCTCTCGCTGGACCGGCGCAACAAGGACCTTATCGGTGAGTGCGGGCACGGGGGTCTGGGGCCCGCCCCCCCCCTCCCCCGCTGGCGCGGCCTCACCGCCCACCGCCCGCTGCCCGCAGGGAGCTACGCCATGGCCGAGCTCGTGCGAAACGTGCGCAGCGCGCAGGCGCCCGCCCGGCCGGGTGCCCGCCTGGAGGAGGACACGGTGGTGGCCGTGCTCAACACCATCCACGAGATCGTGTCCGACAGTCTGGACAACGCGCGCTCGCTGCTGCAAGCACGCGGCGTGCCCGCGCTGGTGGCACTGGGCGCCTCCAGGTGGGTGCAGGCGCGGCAGCGGGAGGGGCGGGGCGGGGGCGGGGCCTAGGTGGGTGGATTGGTAGGGGCCCCAGGTGGATGGGCGGGGCGGAAGGAGCCCCAGGTGGAGGCGGGGCCTGTGGGTGGGCGGAGTGGGGGCAGGTGGGTGGGCGTGGCTTGTGGTGGGCAGGGCCGGCGGTCCGGCAGACGATGATCCCCGCCTGGGCCGCAGCCAATCGGTGCGCGAGGCAAAGGCCGCATCGCACGTGCTGCAGACGGTGTGGAGCTACAAGGAGCTGCGCAGCGCCCTGCAGAAGGATGGCTGGAGCAAGGCGCGCTTCCAGGTTAGGCCCGCCCGCCCCTTCCTCTCACTTCGCCAGGCCGGGTACCCCGCGGCAGTGCCCCGACCCATGCCGTCTGGTTTGTGTTCCCCCGCCGCAGTCAGCTGCTGCTAATGCCAGGGGCCCCAAGGCAGCCCCGAGTCCGGAAGGCTTGGACGACAGCACGCTGCCACTGGTGGAAAAGAGCCTGGGTGAGTATGGGGCCGGAGCCCATCCCGAGGTTCAGTTGTGCCCCTCCTCCCGGCGGAGGGCTGGAGGAAGGTGGGCCTTCCTCCAGGAAGATGGCCCCCACTCTTCTCGCACCCCCTCCCCCCGGGGCGTTCACCTTGGCACCAAGCTGGGGGCGGCTGTGCCAGGGAACAGATGTTGGTGACAGGGTACCGAGTGGCTGAGGTCATGCCTGGGCCCCCACCACCACCTGCAGCCAGCCACCCACCCGCTCATGCCTTGCAGATGGTGAGAAGCCAGGCGGCCGGGACATGATCCCCATGGAGGCACTTGGTCCAGGTGCGGGCAGGTGCATGCTGCTTGCTCCTTGTGTGGGGAGGGCCTTCCAAGGAGGTGTGGTTGGAAAAGTGATTTGATTTAGGGGTGCTCAGGGAGCGAGGGACAGGGCAGCCAGGGAGAGGTCACTGTCCAGCCAGACTGTTTGGTCTGCCACTTGAGGGGCGGCTGGAGGGCTCTGAGCTGGGGGGGGCAGCAGGGGGAGTGGGGACAGATGAGAAGACCCGGCTCAGCGGAGTCCGGGCGGATGCCCTCCCCAGTGCACCCTGGATGCTGAGGGACAGCCACACCTCAGTGCCTGCCTCAGGGTCCCCTCTGCCTCCGCCCCGCAGATGGCTACTCCACTGTGGACAGGAGGGAGCGCAGGGCTCGAGGCAGTGATCCTGTAGGGGAGGCCTCTGAGAAGGAGCCGCTGAAAGTGAGTGGCCTTGGGCAGGTGTCCGGAGAGGTGGCATATCCCGGGGGGGGGGGGGCCTGGGGCGGGGCTGTGGCTCTCCTGCCTGGGGAACCCTTGCACACGCTGGGAGGGCAGGCTCGGTCCGAGGCTGCATCCACACCCTCCCTGCTCGGTCCTGCCCCCACGGCAGCCCCGCCGCCTGCTCTGCGCCTGCTCCTGTATCCCCAAGCCCCGCTGACGTTCAGCCCTCCCCTGGCACCCACCCCTGCCCTGCTGACCAGCCCAGCTCCCACCCGCCAGCTCATACTAACCTGCTGCGTTCTGCCTCTAACGCCCGCCTGCCCACTGCCCGCCCGCTGCAGCCCGACCCCAGCAGGAAGGCTCCTCCGCCCGGGCCCAGCAGGCCTGCGGTCAGGCTGGTGGACGCTGTGGGGGACGCCAGGCCTCAGCCTGTCGACTCCTGGGTCTAGCTTGCATGCCCGGTATGTCCCCTCTGGGTTCTGCGTCGGGGTGGGGCCTCCTCCTCGAGCTGCTGCCTGCCTGCCTGCCCCGCTCTCCCTGCACGCTTCCTGCAGGGCCGCCCGAGCTCAGCAGAGGGAAGCCCAGGGTGGGGGGGCAGGTCGGGGGGGCCCTGGGCCATCGGAGCCTGGAGGTCACAGGGCGAGAGCAGGGCTGATCCCCCCACACCTTCCAACGCCCCAGCACAGGGACCCCTGAGACCCGTCTTCCCACAGTGGCCATCCCCAGGGCTGCTCAGGCTTCCCCTTTCTGTCTGCAGGGTCTGGGCCCGACCGTTTGCTCTTAGGGTCTGACCTCTGAAGAGACCACGGGAAGGGGCCTCTGGGTGCCCGTGCAGACCCCGCTGTGGAGGTGGAAGCCCTCTGGTGGCAGGGCGGGCGGCGCCTCCCCCTCCGGCCCTGGCTCCCTGCTCCTAACTCCCAGGCGAGTTAGCTTCCTGACATGGTGCTGTGTGCAGTGCACGCCCGGGAGGCCCAGGCCAGGGCACCCAGTATTGCTCTGGGGCCAGCAGGGCCCCCCAAGGAACGCCGACGGGCGAGGAGGGGGCTCAGGGCAGGGAGTCTGGCCCCAAGGCTGCAGGGGCTTCCCTGGGCCCTGAGCGGGGGCGGCGCTCGGGGACAGCCGCGCAGAGATCCTGGAGGCAGTGAGCGGGGGGCTGGCTGCACGGCCCCACCCGCCCGCCATGCCTGGAGCCCCTCCCTGGGCACTGCAGCCCTTGAGTAGCACCTCTGGGACTGGCCTTTGGCAGCAGTGGGGGACTGCTGTTGAGTGCCTGCTATTTGTGACTTAAAAACCAGAAAAACACTGATAAAAAACATTATAAGAAAACCAAACTAAGACTGTATTGGTAAACATCTAAATCTTTTTAAGAAAAATTAAAAATTATAAAAAGCAACAAAGGAATTTCCCGTGTCTATCTCCGTCCGTGAGCCGCTCCCCTGTTGTTTACTGGCCCCCGTGGGGGTCCACTGCATCCAGGCCCCCGGGATGTGTCCCCCATGTGGCTCCTCTCTACACAGTGTGTGGGCTCAATCCCAGGTAGTTAGCGGGGCCCCGACGACTGTGGCTGGTCTTGGGCACAGGCGGGCTCGGCCAGAAGGGGTGATTTCGGGGTGAGGGACCTGGGAGAGCCTCTGAGGTGGCCAGAGGTCCAGCCAGCCACTTGAGGGCCTGGGGGCTGGAGGGCCAGTGTCGGGGCCGCGGGCGCCTGTGGACGTGAGTGGGTGCCGGCCAACCACGTCGTCACGGGCAGCCAGGCCGCCACGGAAGCACTGCACCTGCTCCGACTGCGCCATCTCATCCCCAGACCAGGCCGAGTGGGACGGGGACGCAGTTTGCCCAGAGCCACACCAGGCCCGAGAGGCTGGGTACTGGGCATTCCGGACCTGGCCCAGCACTGGTTGCTCAGAGCAGCCTGCGGGCTGCCTGGGTCCCCAGTAGGGCTCAGCCCGGCCCGCAGACATCCCCGTGGGGCCATCTGCAGCGGCCGAGGGGAGCGGGGGGTGCCTGGTGCGAAGCTGGAACATGGGGGCAGACAGAGCAGCACTCAGGTCCTGTCTCACCTAAAGAATCAGGTCCTTAATTTCTACCTCACTGTCTTCTAAACAGGGTGTTAGTCTGTGAGATTGGTAGCGGCTGATTGTAGAAAAGTTGCATTTCATTCTTAAAAAGCAAGCGAAAGGAGTGTTTTGGGGGCGGTGTGGGGGGGCGGTGATCACTGAGGCACTGCTGCCACCTGGTGATGGCAGAGCGCAGGTGCCGGCCCGCAGAAGGCGGATTGTTGTGGGGGGGGGGGAGGGAAGGAGGAAGGGGGAGAGAGGAGAGAAACAGGAGAGAGAGAGAGGGAGGAGAGCCAGGCGGGGAAAGAGAGGAGGGAGCGGGGGAGAGAGAGTGTGTGTGAGATGGTGTGAAACTGAGATGCTGTGTGAATGTGTGACTGCACGTGTGTGTGTGTATGTGTGTGTGTGTGTGTGTGCACGCGACACTGTCACGTGCACTGCTTGCCTAGCTGGTCTTCACAGGCAGGCACCTTCTAGATGTACTGCCACAATTCTGGAAGGGGAGCTGGGCATGCTCGGGGCAGGCCAGCGTGACAGCTACAGGGCGCTACAGGGCTGGGGCTGCCTCACCCTTCAGGGCCGGGCGTGGCGGGGGATCCTGCACAGGGCCGTCCGGGCCCTTGTAGACGACCTTCTCCAGGCCGTCTACCACCTTGGAGTACTCCAGGTACGAGCTGAAGTGTGAGCACGTGAAGCGGCTGCTCCCGCGCACATACTCCAGAAAGTCGGGCGCCCCAGGAAGGATGACGTTGTCGGCCAGCAACACTGTCCCCTTCCGCAGCAGGCCGCACTCCTGTGGGGACAGGCAGATGGCTGGAGGGCGTGAGGGCGGCCTGAGCGGACAGGGGGACCCTCAGGCCCTAGGACAGAGTGTGGCACACAGCACGGGCTCACTGCACGCTGGGGGACATGAGAGTGCAGATGGTGGGGCCCAGATTGCAGCCAGTAGGTGCCAGCAACACGGGCTCCTCTGGGTCACCAAGATGCCTGGTGACCCGTGCGGGGGCTGCTGGCATCGGTCACTGGAGGTTCAGTAGGGTCCGACCAGGGGGACCCTGCAGGGCTGGGGGGCAGACCTCCACACCCACAAGCCTGCCCCTCAGGTCCACCCTGAAGCACCCCAGTCTCCACCAGCACCTGGGCAGTTGGCCAACATGTCAGGCCTGGCTCTACAGAGGGAGGGGCAGCTGCACTTCTGTGCCCACCAACCTCACCCCCAGTCTCTCTGAGCCAGAGGAGGAGCTGCTTGGTGTGTGTGAAACTTGCTCAGTCGTGTCCAACTCTCTGCGACCCCAAGGACTGTAGCCTGCCAGGCTCCTCTGTCCATGGGATTCTCCATGCAAGAAACTGGAGTGGGTTGCCGTGCCCTCCTCCAGGGCATCTTTCTGACCCTGGGATGGAATCCAGTTCTCCCACATTGCAGGCAGATTTTTTTTATCATCTGAGCCACCAGGGAAGCCCTGCTTTTACATCAAAAAGCAAGAGGAAATGTTTCCTGACGAAGGAGTGAAGGGACAGCCCAGCCGCTGAGCTACATCAGAGCCTTCTCTACATGATCATTAATGTGGGAAAAAAATCCCCAAAAGGAAGGTGAAGTCAAGCAAGAGGCCCCAGGCGCGTCTTAAGTTGCCAGTGGGGCCCCAGGGATGGACGGGCACCCCCTGGTGACTTAGGAACACGGGGGCCACTGGAGTGGGTGCAGCCCTCAAATCTTCCTGGTGGCGGCTGCCTCCCTTCTGTCCCTGGGCCCTGAGGCTGGAGTGGAGAACACAGCTGTAGAGGCAGGTGAGGTTGGGACAACCCATGAGCCAGAATGTGAAAAAAGTGGGCCTCTGAATCGTGGAGCGGTTCTCCTAAAAAAGGAACTTCCCCATGATACTGACGAGGAAGGGCCACTGGGAGCAGTGGCCCAGGCTGCTCAACCCTGGGAGGAAATGCTCAAGGTGAGCTGGGGCTCAGCACGTGGGGCACTGAACCCATGGGTCAGCCTCGGAGGAGAGTGATGCAAAGGCCGGCCGTCTGCGCGGGGATGAAGCCCTGGAGAGTCTGAACCAGGCCGTGTGCCGGCACTCAGAGGACCAGAGCAGTGTCCCCTGTTCCTGACCTCCGTTCCTTCCGCCCCGGGTGCGGCTTCAGGTCACGAGGGTGCCAGGCCTCCCCCTCCGTCTCCGGCCGCCCTGCTGTAAGAACACCAAGCAGCCCATGGAGAGGCCTGAGCGATGGGGACAAAAGCCGCCTGCCCTGCCAGCCCCTCGCCCGAGCGAGGCGGCATGGCCAGGCCAAGGCAGGGCCAGCTGCAGAACACACCTTCCCTTGAGATGATGAGCAGCCATGAACTAGCGGCACTGAGAAAGCCATTAGGCTCCTACTTGCCAAGGGCAACAGGGCTTCCCTGGTGGTTCAGATGGTAAAGAATCAAGCCGCACTGCAGGAAACCCGGGTTCAATCCCTCAGTCAGGAAGATCCCCCTGGAGAATCCCATGGACAGAGGAGCCCGGCAGGTACAGTCCATGGGGTCACAAAGAGTCGGACACAACTGAGCAGCTAACACCTCCACTTCCAAGGGTGGTATCTGCTGCTCTCTACGGATGCAGGCCATCCAGAGTGCTCCCCGAGGCCCGCCCGCCCTAGCCCAGGCCCCGACTCCTCTCTGTGTCCTGACTGCACACAGGCCAGCCCATGGCTCCCTGGCCACCCTCCGCAGGGCCCGACCCAGCCAGCATGCACAGGGCTCACCTCCAGGAGAAGCGTGTCCGGCAGGTAGCGGTTCTTCCAGTGGTCGATAAAGACCATGTCCAAAGTGTCCACGTCATATTTCTTCTTCAGCTGGGGGATGATGTCCTGGGACGCTCCAAGAACAACGGTCACCTGGAACAGACCCCCACCCAGTGAGCCTGGCAGTTCCGGGAGACGGGTCCCCGCTCTGCCCCACCTCCGGGAGTCTCCCGCTCTGCAGACGGGTCTGCTGGCCAGCTGGTAAGCATGGCCTGGAGCGGCTGGGATGTGACCCCAGCCTTCCCGGCCCCCGGAGCCTGTGCCTACATCCGCCATCTCAGGGACAGTGCCGCACCTTGTCCTGCAGGCCTGCAAACTCCACCATCTGCTGGGTGATGGCCGCATATTCGGGGTTGAGCTCGATGGTGAGCAGCCGGGCGCCAGGCAGCAGCAGACGGGCCATTCGCACTGCCGAATAGCCGCAGTAGGCGCCCAGCTCCAGCAGCACTGACGGCCGCTGCTCCCTCAGCACGCTGTCCACGATCTGGCCTGGGGGGGGTGAGCAGGGGGCTTCACGATCTGGCCTGGGTGGGGGGGGTGGTGAGCAGGGGGCTTCACGATCTGGCCTGGGGGGGGTGAGCAGGGGGCTTCACGATCTGGCCTGGGGGGGTGAGCAGGGGGCTTCACGATCTGGCCTGGGGGGTGGTGGTGAGCAGGGGGCTCCACGATCTGGCCTGGGGGGGGTGAGCAGGGGGCTTCACGATCTGGCCTGGGGGGGGTGCTGAGCAGGGGGCTTCACGATCTGGCCTGGGGGGGGTGGTGAGCAGGGGGCTCCACGATCTGGCCTGGGGGGGTGAGCAGGGGGCTTCACGATCTGGCCTGGGGGGGTGAGCAGGGGGCTTCACGATCCGGCCTGGGGGGGGTGGTGAGCAGGGGGCTCCATGATCTGGCCTGGGGGGGTGAGCAGGGGGCTTCATGATCTGGCCTGGGGGGGGTGAGCAGGGGGCTTCACGATCTGGCCTGGGGGGGGGGTGAGCAGGGGGCTTCACGAGCTGGCCTGGGGGGGTGGTGAGCAGGGGGCTTCACGATCTGGCCTGGGGGGGTGAGCAGGGGGCTTCACGATCTGGCCTGGGGGGGGGGGTGGTGAGCAGGGGGCTCCACGATCTGGCCTGGGGGGGGTGAGCAGGGGGCTTCACGATCTGGCCTGGGGGGGGGTGGTGAGCAGGGGGCTCCACGATCTGGCCTGGGGGGGCGGGTAGTGAGCAGGGGGCTCCACGATCTGGCCTGGGGGGGGGGGTGGTGAGCAGCGGGCTCCATGATCTGGCCTGGGGGGGGGGGTGGTGAGCAGCGGGCTCCATGATCTGGCCTGGGGGGGGGATGGTGAGCAGGGGGCTTCCCATCCCCCGCCCGGTGCTGGCCGCAGGCTCCCGCCCCCAGGCCTCTGTGCTTCTGCACGCGCTGGTCCTCCCCTCCCAGCATTCCCGGCTACCCTCGGCCTGGCCCCACCCAGAGCCGCCCTCCGTGGAAGCACCACCCCACTCCCGCCCCGGGCTGCAGAGAGAGCCTGCCTCGCCCCCTTCGGGGGACACAGTCGGGAGGTTCAAGACTGCTGGACCGCTGGCTGCCCTGACGTCCATCCCCAGGGTTCACATCCGCTGTCCTGACTTGGGGTGTGGGGTGATCACGCATTGCCTGCCTGGGCCCCACCCCCACCCCCGCTGGAGTCCAAAGGTCAGGAGGCGGCCCCGGAGGCGGGGTGAGGCCTGGCGCCCCCGCAGGACTCAGTCCAAGAGTCTCCATGCACCCTGGGGCCAGCCGGGACACCCAGGGACCCATGGCCCGCCCTGGGGGGCACCTGGCTCTGCCTGGCGGCTGTGAGCGAGGAAACCATGCAATGACTCTGTTGTTCCCCGTTCCCTCCCCCTCCAGCACTGGCTGGGGCTCCCTGGCGGCACCTCCTGGAGTGGGGGGCAGGGCCCGAGCCACCCCGCCACCCACCTTTCTTATCGCCCACGTGCATGGCCCACTCCTTCTCCGAGCTGTAGCCGTCGATGGCGGCCACCACGCTCTCCGGGTCCCCGGCCACCGCGTGCTGCAGCACGTGCTGCAGGATGCGCTGCTCCTTGCTGCTGCCCATGAGGAGGTTGCGGACGGGGTTCACGACGTACACGTTCCAGCAGATAAAGGCCAAGCCGAAGAGCCGCAGGTCCGGTGGGGCCAGCCACCGCAGTGCGAGCAGGGCCAGGCCGACGGCGCCAGCGGCCAGCAGCAGGGGCGGGGCCTCCAGCATCTGCTGGGCGAGGGGCGGGGCTTCAGGGCGGGGCCTCCAGCAACTCTGGCGGGGCGAGGGGCGGGGCGGGCCTTCCGGGCTCTGCGAGGCCCCGCCGCCCGCAGGACCCGTGGGAGCACGTGGTCATCACGGTGTTAGTGACCGGCCCGCCTGGCTGACCCGCCCGGGAGGTTCAGCCCCGTGAGAGGCCAGCCTCGTGCCCGGTGGCCAGACTCAGGGGATACGGCCGGGGCCCCGCCCACATGCAAACCACGTCCCCCAGGGACTCCGCCCTGGGTGGAGAGACGGGTCTCGGGCAGCCCAGAGCACCAGGCTGGCCCGAGGCTGGACACTCCCCACAGGGGCGGCCAACCGCACGCAGGGCCCCCTGGGGCACACACTGGGGACAGCCCGGGAGCTCGTGTGGCCCGAGAGCTTCCGGGCACAGACACAGGCAGCCCCAAGCCGGCTCTCAGGGGAGAGCAGACAGGCAGCAAGGCGCCGCTCGGAATGTCCCTCCAGCCCGGGACACCACGGCAGTCTCCCTGGTCCCCGCGGCACTGGCCAGGCCAGCAGGTGCACCACAGGGCCGGAGGCAGGTGGGGGGAGTCTGGAGGTGGGTGGGGTGGGGCCGACCGCACTTCCGGGATGGGCGACAAACACAACAGGGGCGCGTGGCCTGCAGTGGCCAGCACTGCCCGCTGGGCTCCGTTCTGCCAGCGCAGGAGCCCCAGCCACACACCTGTGTGGCTTTGTCATCACTGTGTTCAGCAGCAGCGCAGAGAGGCTGGGCCACTCTGATGTATTCTCTGGGTTGATGAAAAAAACTAATCAATGTTACACGTAAATATAAATATAAAAAAATAGAAAGTAGTATTCCATTTAAAGACCAAAGTCCTTGGTGGACCCTGGAGTTGTGAAGGATAGCTTGTAATTCCCACAACAACTGAACTGTATAAAAATTGGGCGAGGACTCAGCCGCTTGACGGCCCAGGTCTGCCGGGAGCTTCACGCAGTGCCGGGGACCAAGGACAGACCCACCGACAGAACCAGGCGGACGTGCTGGCAGGAAGCCCTCCGGTCAGGGCTGGGCAGACCCCTCCTCGGGGAGACAACCCGTGGGGCCCCTTGTGCTGTGGGTCCCAGTACTGGAGCGCCCACGGCTCTGCCCTTTGGAAGGGCCGCAGTGAGGTCGCTCGGTTCCCCCGGCAGTGGCCTGAGGTTCCCGCCGCCCCGCGTGGCTCCGGGCCCCGGGAGGCTGAGGGCCCCCGCTGCCCTGAGAGGAGGACGAAGGAGCCACTGGCCAGAGGTGAGGGCTGGTGGCCGAGCAGCACCTTCAGACCCCCTGCTTCGCGTGTCCCACATGAATCCCCCTGCTTCCGTGTGCTCCACTCGCGTCCAGAACCTAATTTTAAGAAATAAAACCATAAAACTCGTAGAAGAAAACACAGGAGTAACTCTTCATGACCTTGAATTTGGCCATGGATTCTGACACAACACCAGAAGCACGGGCAACAAAAGAAAAATAGAATTTCACCGAAATGAAAGCTCTGTGCATAAAAGGGCGCCATCAAGAGCGAAGGACAGCCCAGGGGTGGAGAAGATATCTGCAAACCGCCGACCTGATGAGGGCTTAAAATCCTAAATACATACAAGAATTCCTACAACTCAGAAAGAACCCAGTTAGAAAGGGGACAGAGGACATGAGCAGATATTTTCCTAAAGAAGACACACCAGTGACCAGGAAGCACATCACTTAGGAAGTCTGATCAAAGCTCCAAGGCACCACTTCACATCCCTGGGATGATCCGCCCCGTGCTAGCGGGGCCACGGAGAAATCGGAAACTCAAGCATGGCTGGTGGGAACCCAAGACGGAGCAGCTGCTGTGGAAAACAGTTGGCGGTTCCTCAGAAAGGTAAATACAGAGTTACCACATGACCCAGCAATTCCACCTCTGGGAGTGGACCCAAGACGCCCGAGAGCAACGGCTTGAACCCACATTTGTCCACCCACGTTCAGGACAGTGTGAGGCACAGCGGCCGCGAGGGGACACGGCCCGCAGACAGATGAGGTGTGGTCTCTCCGCACACTGCGGCATCCCTTAGTCACACTAAGATGACTGCACCCTGACCCTGCCCCACTGGGAGGGATGTGCGGACACCTGTGACTTCACGGAGGGACCAGGGGGACGTCACGGTCAGTGGGATGAGCTGGACGTGTGAGGATCAATTCTGAATGATCGCACCCGGATGAAACGCGCACAAGGTCAAGCTCACTGAGACAGGACAGAGAACAGAGGCTGCCAGGGGCTGGGGGCCGCGGGGTAACTGCTGAAGGGGGCAGAACTTCTGCCTGGGGCGGGGCGGGAGCTCTGAAGACAGAGGCAACAGCTACGCAGCCACGTGGATGCTCGATACTACCGAACTATACGCGTGCACATGCTTAGAGTGGTAAATTTCAACTTACGCATGTTTCACTGCATCAAAAACGGTGGAAAACCAAGAAAACAAGCAACCCTGTTTCTGGTCCTCTCTGTTCCCAAAAGAAAAAGGAAAATGGCACCCCCACTGGGAAGCAGGATCCAGAAAAACCAGCCCAGCTCCCAATCTGCCTGCCTGCGGGCCTGCCCCACCCCACCCAGAGGCACACACTCACCCCCTCTGGGAGGAGGGGAAGGCAGTAGAGTCCCTCGCTTCCTCCCCAGGCTGGTGTGTGTTCCCGGTGCCCTAGAGATGGAGCACAAACCTCTCACAACAGCAGCCACAGCCCACCCCCAAAGCTTCCTTATTATAAGCCCGTTCTTAACTGTTCTCCTTGCAACCCCAAGACAGACCCTCCATCACCTGGGATCGCCACCTATGCTCCTCCCGATAACCCCCAAGGGGCTGATGGAGATGCCGGCCACGGCCCGGCCCCCTCAGGCCCAGGCGGGGGCTGCAGACTACCCACAAATTCTTCAGTCCCTTGGTGCTGAATCTGCTAGGGCTCCACATGGTGGGTGGGGGGTCCTAGCCAGGAGTCACACAGCCCAGCCCCGCCTCCCCAAGAAAGGCAGGCCTGAGAGCACGGGGGGCCGTGGGGGGCAAGAGGGGCAGGCAGCCCCGAATCCTCACGAAAGGGAAACCTGGCGGCTGCCCGAACTAGCCATGCGCCTGGGCTGGGGCCTCTGCGCTTGGATGGTGTGGGGGACGGCGTGGGACACAGAGCCCCGGGGGGCTGTGTCTTCGTCTCCTGTCCTGTGTGATTCTGGCTCTGGACCCGCAGACCACAGACAGGACAGCTCTGCTCCTAGGCTGGGGGGTCCCAGCAGCCTCGCGGACAGGAGCCGCCCAGCTGGCTCCACCCAGCTGGCTCCGTCCACTTCCTCCCGGTCAGCGCCGGAGCAGGTGGGCCTCAGGGGCTGCCAGGCCGCCGGCCCACCACGCCCTCCTCCCCCAGCCCCTGACTCCTCCGCCCTCCTCCCCGGCCCCTCAATTCCCCCAGCCCCTGAAACCTTGGGCCCCCTGGCGCCTCTCCAGGGACTCAGGGATCCCCCAGAAGCAACTACCTGATGCTGAAAAGGAAAAAGAACAGTGAATTGGAAGCATTTAGTCTGCGCCTCCCTGAGATGATACATCAGGGTCCAGAGGGGCTTTCAGGCGTCACACCACACGGGTGTCAACGTGCCCCACTTGCTACAACACGACTCAGATTAAGATACCAAACGAAGCAAAGACACAGTCCAACTCTTACATAAACTAGTGGCTTTTATGTAACTGTGTTTATGACTAATGCATAGCTAGGCATAAATTTTCATGTACAATTGTGTTTTTTTAATATACATACGCTCCTTCCCCACCTCCAGATGGTATGACCAGATCAAGTTCTGCAGTGCCTTCCAGGGACTCTATCCTGACTGGCTTCCAGAGGAACAGGCACTTACGTAAAGTAAACCTTCCTAAACTCCCAGAGATACAAGCACCAACTCAACTGTTTTTCTAGTTCATGTACTTGGGTAAATCTTTGCTAAATAAAACCAGCTTAATAGTGTTCATCTCATAAAATAGGTGTCTCTTTAGAGTTGTCAACATTACATACATTGCAACACACTTAAATCTCCTTGGTTGACTAGTCAAATAAGCTAGTATTGTATTGATTAGGCATTTAAGGTTATAAATTTGATTTTAATCAAATCCAGTCACTATTCTCTCTCTCTCTTTTAACATTCATTTATGTATTTGGCTGCACCAGGTCTTAGTTGCAGCGTTTGGGATCCAGCTCCCCGACCAGGGATCAAACCTGGGCCCCCTGCATTGGGAGCGCAGAATGTTAGCCACTGGACCACCACGGAAATTCTCCAGTCACTATTCGGACAACCTTTCTTTCCATAATGATTGTGTTTCAGTCTGCCTAAAAGCAGTTTCCAAAATCTTTTTGGTAACTTGAAACTTTAAAAGTTCTACCAAGTTAAGTTAAACAATAGATATCCCGTTGTTTTGCCAGAAGTTTTCCTTTCATTTTAGGTTTGAGGCATTTGTCAAAAAGAGAAAGCACTCGTTACACACAAACAAACAATTTCACTTTTTAACAGAAGATTATCCAAACTTAACCTCAATATCCAGGGACTTGCCTCGTGGCCCAGTGGTTACGAATTCGCCTGCAAATGCAGGGCACACAGGTTCGATGCCTTGTGCGGGAAGACTCCATGTGACGTGGAGCAGCTGACCCTGCATGAGCGGCTACTGAAGCCCGCGTGTCCTCTCCAACAGGGAACCACCACAATGAGCAACCTGTGCTCCCCAGCTAGGGAGCAGCGCCCACTCGCCGACCCGGGAAGGCATGGCAACAAGACCCAGCTCAGACGAAAGTAAATAAATAAGACAATTTTTTAAACATCCCCAAATACAGTCATTAGGAAAAAAGAAGTAAGAGAGGAGTGATAGTGCATACACCACCAAACTGAGCCTACATCTACACCCAGACTTTCACAGTGTGGGGAAACCCCATGTCACAGCGGTCTGGAGCCTCAGAGGGGAGGGTC